AAGGAAACATCAACATATCCTCAATGTGGCTCGTGCTCTTATGTTTCAGTCTAAGGTTTCTCTTAACTTCTGGGGTGAATGTGTTTTGACAGCTGTGTTTTTGATCAATCGCACACCTTCACAGCTTCTTTCAAACAAAACTCCATATGAGATCTTGACTGGTACACCTCCGGATTATTCTCACTTGAAAACATTTGGCTGCTTATGTTACTGTACTACTTCACCACATCAGAGACATAAGTTTCAGCCTAGATCCAAGGCATGTTTGTTTTTGGGATATCCGGCTGGTTACAAGGGTTACAAGTTATTGGATTTAGAGAGTAATACAATGATTATCTCACGGAATGTGATCTTTCATGAGGCTGTGTTTCCTATGGCTACAAGTGAAGAAGCAAACACATCATTTGAATTTTTTCCATCCATGAATTCTGAGTCTTCAGGTAACAACTCTTCCATTATTCCTTCTTCTCTTTCACCTCCACCATCAGAAATTTCTTCACGAATAAAGAAAACTCCTGCTTATTTACAGGATTATCATTGTTATTCTCTATACTCAAATACTCCTCATTCTTTATCTTCTTCTCTTTCATATAATCAAATTTCTCCATCTCACCTTGCTTATATCAATAGCATTAGCAAAATTCCTATTCCAAATTCTTATTCGGAGGCTCAGAATTCAAAGGAATGGTGTGATGCTGTTGACAAGGAAATTGGAGCAATGGAGTCAACAAATACGTGGGAAGTCACCACATTGCCAAAAGGGAAGAAGGCTGTAGGTTGTAAATGGGTATTTACTCTGAAGTTTTTGGCTGATGGTAGTTTGGAGAGATACAAAGCAAGGTTAGTTGCAAAGGGGTATACTCAAAAGGAAGGTTTGGATTACACTGAGACCTTTTCTCCAGTGGCAAAGATGGCCACGTTCAAACTGTTATTAAAAGTTTCTGCATCAAAGAAATGGTTTCTCAAACAACTTGATGTATCCAATGCTTTTCTCAATGGAGAATTGGATGAAGAGATTTATATGAGACTACCTGAGGGATATGCTGCAAGAAAAGGAATTGATTTACCACAAAATGCAGTTTGCAAGCTCAAGAGATCTATCTATGGTCTTAAACAAGCTTCCCGACAATGGTTTAAGAAATTTTCTTCTTCTTTGCTCAGTTTGGGATTTGAAAAGACACATGGAGATCACACATTATTTGTCAGACAATGTGGTGATGATTTCGTGGTTGTTTTGGTTTATGTTGATGATATTGTCATTGCAAGTACAAGTGAGAGTGCTGCAGCAAAATTGACATCAGATTTGGAGCTACAGTTCAAACTTCGAAATCTTGGTGATTTGAAATATTTTCTTGGTTTGGAAGTTGCTCGTAACAATGAAGGTATTTCATTATGTCAAAGGAAATATGCATTGGAGTTGTTATCATCTACTGGAATGCTAAATTGCAGGCCTGCTACTACTCCAATGATTCCGAATGTCAAGATGTACAAAACTGATGGTGAATTGATTGATAACAGAGAATTATATAGGAAGATTGTTGGGAAGTTGATGTATCTGACCATTACCAGGCCAGACATTACCTTTGCTGTTAATAAGCTTTGCCAATTCTCTTCAGCACCAAGATCCACACATCTCCTTGGTGTATATCGTGTTCTACAATATATCAGAGGCACGACTGGTCAAGGATTGTTCTATTCTGCCTCACCAGATCTTACTCTTAAAGGTTATGCTGATGCAGATTGGGCTTCTTGTCCTGATAGTAGAAGATCTACTACTGGTTTTACAATGTTTCTTGGAGATTCTCTGATTTCATGGCGTTCCAAGAAACAGGCTACTGTCTCACGATCTTCTGCTGAAGCTGAATACAGAGCTTTAGCTCTTGCTTCTTGTGAGATGGTTTGGTTGCAAACATTGTTGCGTTCTCTGCGGGTTTCGTTTGCGGTTCCTATTCTCTATTCTGATAGCACAGCAGCCATTTATATAGCCACCAATCCCGTTTTCCATGAGAGGACTAAACATATCGAGATCGATTGTCACACGGTTCGGGAGAAGTTGGATAATGGTGAACTTAAAATGCTTCATGTGCGTTCAGAGGAACAAGTTGCAGACATTATGACTAAGCCTTTGTTTCCCTACCAATATGACTATCTCAAGTCCAAGATGAGTATACTGAATATTTTTGGAGTCTCATCTTGAGGGGGCCTATTAGATTAGTCCAGTTTAGTCATCTGGTTAAGTTAACCATGTATAGATGTAAAGTATAAATACTCTTGTACAGAAACATTATACACTTAATGAGAAATCTCAGTTTAATATCTCTAACAAACTTTTCTCATCTTCTTCATTCTCTCGATCGTAATAATAGATACAAACTAGGGGTGGGGGTGGTGGTTGAACGCAACAGTACTTGGTGAACTGCGACAAACATCGACCACACAACAAGCTACATCATATTGGAGACAAAGAAGATATGACAATCAAGTTAAAGTAGAGGGAACTAAGGAAGACGTACGTACATGAGCTGACCGAAGTGGTGGTGACAGTAGAAAAGCTTTGTATGGATCAATTGGAGCGAGGGATGGCTCCAGAGATGAAGACTAACATACATATTGTGATAAGCATTGCCGTAGCAGAGCCGCCACAGTAGCTGGAATATAATATAAACGTTGTTACATATTAATTGGTTTGGCCGCATGCATGTTGTTGTTTTCAAGAAAAGGGTTTCTTGAGAAAGAAGTTACCGAAGATTGAAACAGAGAGTAAAGTAGCTAGAGAGAGAAGTAAATAGATGGTTAATACAAAAGCATAGAGAGAAACCTTTGTAATTTCTCGACGATGATGGTATGAGTTATGCTGATGATGGTCGAGCGTCCAGGGTAGATGGTGATAGGCCAGGCAAGCATTACTTGCGATTGAAGTTTCAAGTAGATTGTGAAAACAAAAGAGTTACTGGTTAATCTTGCTTTTCTCAGAGTTCTTAAAAAATCTTGGAGATAACTCTTTAAGTGGTACCCAAAGTTGAACATGAGCTACGATACTCTTGAACTGGATGGATCATACGTCGTATGTATTTAACTTTGGAGTAGAAAATTAAGAACAATGGTAAGAAGCAGAGAGCATCAAAACAAATGTAAATCGTACGTATACTACATACATGTAGCCACTGGGACAAATACAGCTGATGGCATTAGACAAACAGATCGGTAGAAAATGTGAACAGCACATCGATGAGTAAGAGAGTGTATTGGGAAACGATGATGAAGTTACAGCTCAAACTATGGTCCAAAATTCTCAGTCGATGGAGTCACAAGATTGGTGAAATTGTGTGTTTCCCGTGAAAGTGTTTGCAAGTGTGAGAGATACATACTGTTACATGAGGCACATCTATTCCACTGGTAATGCTCCAGTCGCCTTCCTCTTGTCCTCATATCGCCAACAACAAATGAATTTGCTGGACCAAAAAGAATATGGGAATCACAAGACTGGCTAAAGGAGGGTGAGCTTGTCAAGAAACTGTGAGACCTTCAAAGCAAAGTTAAGGTTCTAACTTTGAACTTGGAATTCAGGATGGATATAGATGCTAAAAATGAACAATGCCTCCATCTAAACAAAGTCCTCTAATCTCCTCCCTCTGCTTTTCTAATGAACAATGACTTCGCACGAACATTAGAGAAACAACTTCCTCATAACCAAATAAACGATGAGACCTTCAAAGTAAAGGGTCTAACTTTGAACACATAATGAACTTGGAATTCAAAATCACATCGAACCAACAGAGGAATTGCATAAACCCATATTAGGAGGATTCTGCGCTACAAGCAGAAACAATACATCAACAAAATAAGAGTGTATCAATTTATAACTCATCATAGTTGACCAATACTTTCTCAGTCAGTATTGTCAATACCAACAGAAGAACCTGTACACATGTCATATAACAACACTATTTCGATCAATATTATTTTTAGCAAAAATTTGAAAGGTAAATTTTAATATATTTTTTAAAAATTTTAATTAAATTATTTTAAACTATTTTTAAATTTAGTTAAATAAATTCTCTAAAATCGTTAGAGAACATTATACACCGAATAAAATTAAAAAAAAGGATTAATTGGGTTTTTAGTACATTTTTGAAACATAATTGTAGAAGTAGTACATTTACTATTCATTATTAGCAAACTAATACATTTTTACTATTTGGACACTATTTAGACACTATTAAAAACCCCCTTAAATCTAATAACTAAAAATATTCATCAAAATATATTTGTTTTCTATAAAATTTCAATTACAGAAAAATCTATATTTTTTTCTCTATAATTTGATATGCATTTTTTAAAAAATAATTTCAAATATTTTTCAAACAAATTTTGATACGTCCGGCTATCCTTATGTACAGTTGTGTGTCGATGTACGGAAAATCATCCGTACAGCGGTCTATATATACGTATAATTGTATGTGTACATATATTTTCTGGTCTATATATGTATATTTGTTTATGTGTAAATATGTTTATACGTAGTTGTTTTTCTTTGTACAAATATTTGATGTACAATAATATGTTACTGTACAGTTGTATGTCTGTACAGATATCTGAAATAGTAAAATTGTATTATTTTGCTAATTGTGAATAGTAAATGTACTATGTTTATAATTATGTTTCAAAAACGTACTAATTTGCCAACACACCCAAAAAAAAATGGAAATTGATAATTTAACCAACAAAAAGAAAGAAAAATCACAAAAATTGGCTTCCAAAACGTTCAAAGTACTGTAAACTGAACTGTGTTTAAGGAAATCATGCGAAATTGTAAATTAAAAAGCACAAAAAGGAAGCATTTGCCAAAAAAAAAAAGTAATATTTTCTTAAAGAGTTTCTTTCTAAAAAGCCTCGAGTCCTCTTTCTCCCTCAATCCATGTCTTAGTGTGTGTATTAGGTAGGTTGTATAATTAAATCCCTAATCTATGGATATGAGTTCTCTTAGTGATCCAATCAGCAGTTTGCCAGATGAGATACTTGGCAAAATCCTGTCTTTGCTTCCGACAAAAACTGCTGCTTCCACATCGGTTCTGTCCAAGCGGTGGAAGAATCTTTTAGGTCTTCTAGACAACCTTTGTTTTGATGAGTCGATGGTTGTTTACCCAAACGAAGAAGAAGCAACAAGTGGTTCAGATCGCTTCTGTGATTTCGTAGACAAGACACTAGCTCTGTTAAGCAATTCTCACATGAAGAAACTATCTCTGTGTCATGTACCTAGACCTCGGCATAAAGATGCATACCAACGTTGGTTTTGGGCAGCAATGGAACGTGGTTTCTTGGAACTACACTTGCACGCCACCCACCGCTATTTTGGTGTTAACATAAAGACAAGTTTCTTAACGAGCAAGACACTTGTTAAGCTCACCTTATCCGGTGAATTTTCTCTTGAACTCGACCGTGTGTTTTTCCCTGCCCTTAAATCACTTTCTCTTGTATCAGTTCTAGGGCTTGATTGTCCCAACTATTGTCGGCTCCTCGATGGCTGCTCTGTGTTGGAAGATTTATTCATTACTGATGCTGATCATTGGTATCTGCCCTGTTGCGGTGTGTTCGTGGAAAGTCCATGCATCAAGCGACTTGTGGTTTTTGTCAATCTTCCCGATACTAAGGAGTATCACAGAACTGTTTATTTTAAAGCTTCACGTCTTGTCTACCTTGACTATTCTAGTTATGTCTCCAAGCAGTATCAGTTTGTTGATTTTGATTTGCTTGTCGAAGCCAGGCTGAGTCTAAGGTTATGGGAGTCAACTAACAATCATGACGACGATGATAGTTCTTATTTTTATGATGATGATGATGATGATGATGATGATGACTTCTCTGATGAACATGAACCCATATTTGGTGATGTTACAAATCTAGTTGCGGGTATAAGCAACATTTTGACCCTTCACTTGTCTCCTGAGTCCCTTGAGGTCAGTTTTTGTTACTTCAGTGGAATTGTTTTGTTTTGCAGGCAGCAAGGTCTCTCACTTATATTGTTTTTTATTTTGGTTGTGATTAGGTATTTCATTTTTGCTGTAAATCCATGCCGGTCTTCAACAACCTCCTTAAATTATCTATTGAGAGTAACAAGGAAAAAGGTTGGCAAGTAATGCCGCTTTTGATCAAGAGTTGTCCAAATCTACAGACTTTAGTCATCAAGGTAATATCAATTTCCTTATTGAGATTTGTTTTCGTGTTAGCGTTGTTCGTTAGTTTATACATGTTAGATTGGTCTATGGTTTCAGGGTCTTGTGCACAGAGTAACAAACAGATGTGGAGATGCATGTGCTTGCATCCCTAAGAAGCATAGTAGGAAGAACAACAAGAAGAGGAAGATTGTGAAGGAGGAGGAGTTATGTTGTTTATGGACATGTCACGTGAAAGTGCTAGAGATTTCAGAGTATAAAGGTTCTTTTCAAGAGCTGAAACTGATGAGACATTTCTTGGGGAAGTTGAAATGTCTTGAAACTGTAAAAGTTAGTGTTGACGAGGATAAGTACAAAGACAATGAGTTCTTGCGAGCTAATCTGCTGGCTCTCCCCAGAGTTTCATCAAAGTGCAATATCCAGTTCATCTAATCTTTTCTTTCGTTATCTTCTTTTTCAGTTAGATGGCAATGTGAATGTAACTTAACTCTAGAGTGGATATGATTATAGATTTTATTTTTGTTCGCTTGTACCATTTTATCAAGAATCAATTTTACTAAACAGATTTGACACAAATGTGGTATACAACATACGATTTACATTGCTTTGATGCTCCCTGGTTCTTACCATTGTTCTTAATTTTCTACTCCAAAGTAAAAGACATACCACATATGATCCATCCAGTTCCAAGAGTATCGTAGCTCATGTTCAACTTTTGGTACCACTAAAAGAGTTAACTCCAAGATTCAAGTACTCAGAGAAAATAAAGATTAACCAGTAACTCTTTTGTTTTCAGAATCTACTTGAGACTTCAATCGCAAGTAATTCTTGCCTGGCCTATCACCATCTACCCTGGATACTTGATCAGCATAACTCATACCATCAATGGTCGAGAAATTACAAAAGGTTTCTCTCTATGCTTTTGTAGAACCTTCTATCTTACTTCTCTCTAGCTACAGTACTTTGGTCGTCCCACTCTCTATTCCATTCTTCGGTAACTTCTTTCTCAAGAAACCCTTTTCTAGAAAACAACAACAACATGCATGCGGCCAAACCCATTAATATGTAACAAACGCAATGCTTTATCACATGCAAGTCTCCAAGAAAAAATAAATCTTTCATCATGAGATTGATTGATTGGTCTCCACGTTTTCTCTTCTTTTTTTTTTGGCATTCACAGGCCTCAATATTCCCATGTCTCTGTTATCTCAGCATTATGAATAGTTAGAATTTCATTTGGGATGATACAAAACTACGCCATGGTTGCCAGAGCAACAACATCTTGTCATGGGGGCAAATGTGATTCTTTGCTTCAGAATGATATTGTTGCTTTTCTTTCTTTTATTAGCCCTGTAATAACCGTTTACATTATATAAAGATGAAGAGAGAGAACTAATTAATCAAAAGTTAATGTTATATACTTAATTTTCTCTTCTTCTATGTATATATATTAATATAATGATCATCAAAGATAAAAATGTGAAATACAAATTTATTCAATTTAATTAAATTATAAAAACAGAAATCCATTAATAATTTATTTTTTTAAATGAATGACCAATCAAAATAAACACAGAAGATTTGATATCTAACTTATCATATTAATTTGTTATTAATTATTTTATTATACTTTACCTTTCTTCTTTTTTTCTTTTTTTTGTAAACATACCTTTCATCTTTCTATAATTATATTTTTGTAAAACAAATAACTCATCATATCATTCATCATAGCCAGATTGGTTTATTATGTTTATTTTACATTATTCACACCTAGATTGGTTCATTATGTTTTTGTACCATATTTTCTCATGGTGATCTGGAAAATCTGTTCGCTTGACCCACTCTTTGAAATTTCGGATATGCTTTACCAGATTAGTAGCACATGAGCCTATAGAGTTTGCATCTTTGGTAAAGCTCAGGGTTGGCTTCACGATAGCGGATTTCGAGATCAAGATAGAATTGTGTCATGAACACAATTTCTTCATCCTCACAGCCTCCTGTATTGAGAGGGATGCCTCATGAAAAAAAGATAATCATTTGTTCCATGGTTGGAAAGAAACAAATGGGGAGCTTTAAGAAGATGTCCCCTACATATCTATCTTCAAGATTTGAAAGACCACCTTCAAGTCCATGGCGCATGTTGTAGATCAGAATACAACATACTCTTTCACGTTCTCTTTCATTCAAAAACGAGTCCACGTAAGGACAAAGCTGAATATATTGTAGTTTCTCACCCTTAAAAAATAGGGTTTTTATTTTGGTGGGGAGGGGGGGGGGGGGGTTTGACATATAATTGTGAATGATGTACATTTTTCAATAGATTTAGAATCACAATTCACAACTTTGGATGTTCAATAGATAATTTCTCATAACAATTCAATAGATAATTTCTCATAACAATGGCTCTTTACCATCAAATTTTTCATTTTACGTTTTAAGTTGTATCAATAATTTCATAAATATATCTTTAATAAAATCTAACTTTCATGACTAAGATTTTCCAATATAAAAGCTTTTAATAAAAATGACTATTTTACCCTAAAACACTACTTTTTCAACATATATAAGACTAAAACTCAATGTGGTAAACTAACTAAACATTTTATTCTTTTTTGGATCTCTCTTCTTAACAAACCAGCTCATAATTATGAAAAATATTTTGAAGACCTTCACTTTATTTTTCTTCTTGGCTCTAATCTCTGGTAAATATATATATATATATATATTGTATGATATGAGATTTCACTGATTAATTAATTGGCGTTCACATAATGAATTTTGTAATTCGATAAATAATAATCTACTATACGACTAATTTATAATTAACTTGGCATAATTTAATTAAACATTGTAGAAATTTCGTTTTCAAGTATTGGAAAGGCAGAAAGTCGAAGTCTAATACAGAAAGAGTTCATCTCAAATGTGATCCAAGAAGAATCCATTTTCCACTCGTCTCCAAAGCCACCAACAGACCCGCCATGCCCACTCGAGTGTCCTTTTCATTGCAAAATCTTTTTTGTAGTTATAAAAATATGTAAATGCACATGTTAAATTTTTCTATTATGTCTAGTATCAAACGGGAATAAGGTATAAGATCATGCATGTGTTTCCTAAAAAATAAAACAAACAAATCGTGATTATGGTTTATGCTTCGTATATGTCTATAATAATCATATGATGAGACAACAATATTCTGTTTATCTATGAATTTGGATGCAATGTGCTGCACTTTTTAAAAAAGCTTTAAGCATAAAAAAAAATTGTTAATATGAAAATGAAAAAAATGATGATAAAAAATTAAAAGCTACAAGAAATAAAAATTTGACAAAATTAATTAATAAGTTTTTTTTTCTAAAAATCTCACAAAAAATATTTATTAGGATATCTTCATTAACTTTTTAAGATCTTGGGGAAAGACTTTTAAAAACTTTATGAACGCTTGTCCAAAAAAAAGTTGTGGTACTCTAAAAAAAAATGTTTTTGGTTCATAAAATAAACCAATACTGCAAAAATAGAGTTTATGCTACGTAATGATGATAATTAAGTGGCTTACTTTATTTTTGTTTCCTTACTCTAATAATGTATCCAAGATCAGTCTCTAAACCATGCTTTGATCACTTTCTAGCATCATTCTATATGCTGAAGGCCTTATTAGGTTTCCATGATTCCTAAGATAGAATAATAGACGTATACAAAAACTAAATTCACAAAGAAATCCATCGCTAACGTGGTTAGATGACTAGCTAGGGCACTATCAAGGGTTAATTAGCCTCTCTATGAAAATAATCCTCTAGTGAAGCCTCTTATGTCAAGTCTAATTATAAGAATGCTTGTTTTTCTAGAGCCAAAAAAAAAAAAAAGAGTCGATGCAAAAGTTATGTCAAAAATTGAATGATTGTTAAATTCTAAGATCCCACCATAGATTCGGCTGGTGGCATGGTCACTAACGTCATTAGTGCGGGCACTGTTACTTTTTTGACTCAAGACTCCGATTGAGATGATTCATGGTAAAAAAAAAGTTTGCGTTGGTATTACTGTATTAGATATATCTAGCTAGTTAGCTCCTAGTTAGAATAATTAAGGAGTTTTGCTACAATAATTGTTTGTGTCCAAGCTCTAAAATGGGCTCTTTGTTAGTTTAAGAAGTCTTGACTACAAAAATTGTTGTCTCTTCCTAAAATCCAAAGTAGGCTCCTTGAGCTTACTCTCAATTAGTTCGAGTGTAGTTTTGCTAGAGATTGGTTTCATACTTTCATATTTGACTGAACATATAAGATTTAAGTGAGTTTGGCAACAAAAACAACTTAAGAACCAAACGGGCGTAGTCTTGTGGTAGTGAGACTTTGGGGAGGTTGTAATGAGCTACCCCATCTTTGATCTACCTTACAAACGTGTGGGTGTGAGGGGTTTTGATCACATGGAGTAGTACTCTAAGCAAACCTTTTTGTTTGTCATTGGGATTTATTTTTATCTGTCCCATAATTACTACACTAAGCATCTTTGTTGAATATATTGTATTGTAATTCTGCGGGGTTTTGATCATCAAGTTTGGTTGAAGCTGATTAGATATTGAGTTAGTATCTAATTATGGCACAAATAAAAAATGATGCTGAAGATCAGGATTCTATTGTTTACACTTCAGTCATTCCATTGCATATCAAACACAAATATTTCTGATCAAAATTTACAGACAAAACCTATATACCAGAGAAAATGATCAATAGTCGCATAATATTCGTGGATGTATCCTTGGCCATCCTTAGACCATCATCAATGGTAGCCTCTTAAGGCTACAATTTTCTTAAGAGAGTTAAGGAAATTATAGCCTTAAGAAGCTACCATTGAGGATGCCCTTATATATTCATCGCGAGTTGTATTAGCAAACTTTAAAAAGAAAAGTTTTTGTGAGTTGTTTTTTTTTTTTTATTGATTGGTTTGTAATTCTAATAATGTGTCACCTTATTAAAACACGAAAATGATGATGCGTCAACACATGAGAGTCACAATTTTATTTTATTTTTGTCGATTTATGGCTAATATTTCCAGTACGTAAATCTATAAATCAAAACTTTGGATCTCATAAAGATGAGAATCTAATACCATTAAATTTTCTTTTAACTTTATTAGTTTTATTAGTTGACCTTTCATGTATATAATGTGTGTTCATAAAGTCATTTTACCCTAATTGTACTACTTCTTGAACATATATAAGACTAAAACATATTGTCAACATTTGATTTCCTTTTGTAGTCCTCTCTTTATAACAAATCCGCCCATAATTATGAAAAATATTCTGAAGACCTTCACTTTATTTTTCTTCTTGGCTCTTATTTCTGGTAAAAAAAAAATTCTTTTGTATGATATGAAATTTTACTGATTATACTGATCGGCGTAAATGTAATAATCTTTGCAATTTGATAAAGTATTTCTAC